CGTAGCGTTTGGTTCAGATGCAGAGTTTGGCAGTCACCGCACCGGCACTCACAATTCTCGTCACACTCTGTGACGATGAGTTTGGCCGCATGATTGTGGCGCCACCCTAGAGGCGTGGTAAAAGCTGGCACACAACCAAACAAGCGACAGCCGACAGCCAACCATGCAACAACGAACAAAGCTGAATCTGCCAAGGCTCCCATCATGGACCGGCACAACCCGATGGTACTACTTTGAGTTCGATTCTTTCTAGTGCTCGTACACGCCTTGACTCGTGCTCGTACACGCAAGAAAATAGTGGCTTGCTGCTTGCATGGATGCATGGTGGCTGCCTGGCGTGGAAGCGAGCGACAACTCAACCGCCGTCGCACTCGGGTCCAAACGCATCCAGCTGCCTCCCACCGAGTCAGCTTCAGATCATCGCTAGCCGCTCCAAAACCAAAACGAAGGCAGCTACCCCTGGGATGGGCACGGAAGGCTTCACGAAACTACCGGCACATGAAGAATCCGGACCTATAAATACTCGACATCGTCACTCTTCGCAAACCACACAAACAACGCTCATAAACCACTCATGCACTTTCACTCAATCATCACCTACTAGGCTACTAGCAAGTCGCCAATCCCTCCCTGAGAAAGAAAGTGAGAAATGGCATCACCCCATAGTTGCTTTCGCGGCTGCCAGAACACGAGCCACGCCGCACTTGTGCTGGTGTCCATGCTGCTCCTGAGCTCGGCACGTCTCTTCGTGGGCGCCAGGAGCCTGCTGGAGCTGTACAAGCCGCCGGCCAGCGCGCTCCTCACGTACCACAACGGCGCCGTGCTGCAGGGCCGCATCCCGGTGTCCATCATCTGGTACGGCCGCTTCACGCCGGCGCAGAAGGCCGTGGTCACCGACTTCCTCCAGTCCCTCACCACCGCCTCGCCGACGACGCCGTCCCCGTCCGTGTCGCAGTGGTGGAACACCATCAACCAGCTGTACCTGTCCAAGGCGCGGAGCAGCGGCAACGGCGCGCGCTCCGGCGGCAGCGCGCAGGTGGCGCTCGACGGCCAGACCGCCGACGAAGGGTGCTCGCTGGGGAAGCGCCTCACGCTGGCTCAGCTCCCGCAGCTGGCGGCGCGGGCGGGGATGAAGAAGGGCGGGATCGCGCTAGTGCTCACCGCGCAGGACGTGGCCGTGGACGGGTTCTGCATGAGCCGCTGCGGCCTGCACGGCTCGGACGCCAGGGCCGGGACCGCATACATCTGGGTCGGCAACTCCGCCACGCAGTGTCCCGGACAGTGCGCGTGGCCGTTCCACCAGCCGGTGTACGGACCCCAGACGCCGGCCCTCGTGCCGCCGAGCGGCGACGTCGGCATGGACGGTATGGTCATCAACATCGCCAGCATGGTCGCCGGCACGGTGACCAACCCGTTCCGCGACGGGTTTTACCAGGGCGAGAAGGACGCACCGCTGGAGGCTGCCACTGCCTGCACAGGGGTCTATGGCAGCGGCGCCTACCCCGGTTTCGCAGGTAACCTGGCGGTGGACCGCACGACGGGGGCGAGTTACAATGCCAATGGTGCGAATGGGAGGAAATACCTGCTTCCCGCTCTGTTCGACCCTGCAACCTCTACGTGTTCGACTTTGGTGTAACGGCTAAGGAAACAATCTTGTCAGAATTGTGTAGTAACACTGTGTATATAGTACTGTATAAGAGAGTGATAAGGAGTGTACTGTGGTAAGTGTTGATATCTCACTTTCGAAGATCTGTGTTACTTATTGGACCAGGGGATTTCAGCCAGAAATGATACAAGAACAATACCATCCTAGTCAAAACAGACCACCAAGGATGCAACAAATCCGAACGTTGATGGACTCGGCGTGGGCTGCGAAATAACTCTTAAGGATAGTGTGAAGGATATAGGTCACGAGGAAGGTTTATTGGTGCCTTTGGGTCTTTTGCTAGCTACTGTGTAGTCTAGCTAGGTAAGAAATTTGCGTTGGACAAAGCATTTTGATATACAACCATTTTGATGGAGACCTATGTTTTTCAGCATATTTCTCGCCAACTCATGCAAGCTAAATTAGATCTCCAGCCCTAGCAAGGCGATTCGCAAACGAGATAAAAAGATCTACATCAAATTGGATGTAGGGTGCCACATACCTAAACCAGTATAAATTCATATTTCCTGTGCTACCCATTTAATTTCGTGTGCGTGATACGCTGATCTCCATTGCTGGGGTCAAAACCTTCGACACATGGCGCACCAAAGTAGGGGTCTTTTGTGCACAGGTCCCACATGTTTCAAATGGTCTCATCTTCAACTATGACAATGTGGAGAAGATGGAACCGGGCGCCGAGATCACCTTCGGGGACTTCATCGCCAATTAGCTTGGGAACCTACACCTGCAGGAATCGGAGCCAGTCATGCAGGAGGAGAAGCAGCCACCTTCCCTCCGCATGATCCCCGGTCTCGAGGATGCCGTGGAAGCCGAGCCATTGGCTCTAGCTCACCACATGAACCTCTACGCCCGCGAGGCCTTCGCTGATTTCAGCCGAGAGTTCATCCACAACAAAGTCCTCATGCGTGTGGATGACAAAGATCCACTATGGGTTCGAGATAAGGATCCAGCGCCACTTCCTCGCTGCATCCTGACTGATTTCTCGATCGGGCTCACGAACTACAAGTTTCTGGAAGAGTTCCTAGAGGATTTTTTAGTGACGAGATATTCTCAAACTACAAGTTCCATTTAAAAGTATAGCCATTGTATCCAAACAATGGTTCAGCATGACCTTTGGGAAGGACGTGTTTGTAGCCAAGCATTTCCACAGCTTTTCTCCTTCGCTAAGAATCATCACGTATCTCTCAAAGTGGCAGGCTCTACACCTTTGCGCCAAACATTATTCCATTTTCCACTTTCTACTGAAGCCTATGCACATTTCCAAGAATTATTTGTCATTCTTCAGAACTTACAGTCTCAGCCGGTCCGTGATGTTTGGTCCTATATCTGGGGATCATCTTTTTGGTTCACTAGAGCTTATAAACATCTATTGGCCACCGTTTTATACACAGAGCATACAAGTGGTTGTGGAAATCAGACTATCAGAACAAGAGAAAGTTCTTCTTTTGGCTTGTCCTAAAGGATCGCTTGTGCACCAGATCCCTCCTCAAACAAAGAAATATGCACCTTCCAGACTACAACTGTGTTTTTTACACTCTGAACGTTGAAGAAGACGTTCTTCGTATTCTTTTTCATTGCCCTTTTGCTATGGCTGGTTAGTTTAGCTTAAATATTTTTCTGCCTACTACAATTGATGTCTTCATCATTTTGGAAAGTATCAAGGATCAAACCAGATTGCCTTTCTTCATGAAAATAATCATCACAATGTGCTAGGCTATTTGGATTATGCACAATGATATTGTCTTCAACAACTTTGCCCATTCAGTCGAGAGATGCAAAGCTGATTTCATTGCTCTAGTTATCCTAAGGAAAAAGCAACCTACCATCCACTTATAGATTTATGGCTAGAAGGCTTTGCGTAATTTTAGCTATTTTCTTTTTGACTTTATCTGTTTCTTGATATTTCGGTTGTAACTTCACATTTTATCCGTTTTTTTGATAAAGTTCTAGTAGGTTGTTTAAACCAGCAAGTATGCTTAAGCAAATAATTTTTGTTTGATTGCATGAACCCTGACACACTTTCTTTGAAGCAAATCGGCAAGCAGTAGTACAACACTACGCTGCATCCTTTCTATCCGTCGTCCTTGGTTCAAAAAGCGCCGTGGGGCTTGTTTGGAGGTGTAACCACATCAGTTCACATAAGTTTCACCTCATTCCACTCAAATCCATATGGATCGAGGTAAATACATGTGGACGAAAATGGCTGGGGAGACATGCATGTTTTGGACTGAAATTCCCAGATCCATGACCATAACACATACATTTTGCGTGGCATCACAAGTCCTACATTTCGTCATCACGTGCTCACTGCACCACGACAGAAGGGTCAACAGTCAACTGACAGCAATACAGCTAGATGGAGGCACGGACCGAGAAGTCTCCCCCAAAGGACGAGGGGTGCAGCCACCGGCCACGCCCACGGATGCCATTTCTAGAAAGTGTGTTCGACTGGGGCTGAAACGATGATCGTGAATTATTACTGTTGGCTGGTTTGATATAAGAGAAAAATACTGTTTCGGTTAAAAATTACGATAATTTACGACAGGCGAACAGGCTGTCTATCCGCAAACGTGTGCGCCACATACGGCCTCCCTCCCGGTCCCTGTTCCGGCGAAGGCCGCATTCCGGGGCGGGGCGGTCCGCACCTGGGTGGACGCCGATCTGCCGACGCGGCCCGTGCACATCTAGCCTGACCCGCGATGCTACACGCGAGCTGCCTGCCTGCCTGCACCACGAAGTGCCATTCGTCCAACCGATTCTCCGGGGCTATTCAGCCCGCCGCCGCAATAGCGAGTTAGCGACACGGTCTGTGCATGTCAGACGCAGCAATTTTTTTGATCCGGATGGCTCGTTGTGTTCCCTCTGACACTATGGAAACAAGGAACTTTCGTCTTGAAAAATGCGGGGCATTTCGTCTGCTGAATCCGCAGCCGGTGTGGCGAAACAAGCTTTGTCGCCCGTCTGGTCGTGGTAATCCGCTGACCTGCACTTTGTTTATGTTCTAGACCCACCCCAACAGCTCATCAGGACCTGTACCGATACTTGCAAGAGGATACGACCTTGCTACAAGCCGTAGCTGGCTGTCTCTCGAGATCTGCACGCCGTTAAACGGCGGGGAAGCATCTGGGAACACACGAGTGCTTCAGACTTCGGTGTACCAAAGGGCCAAACTCCCTATAAATGTGTGGTTCTGCCCTTCAGCTGGTTCACCTCACCTCACTCATTAGCAACAGAAAACAGTCACACTTGAACACCTATCTCCTATCAGCACCACTAGTCCACCACATACAGGCGTCAAGCCAAAGTTCAGTCACTCACTCATCACTAGGCTGCAATGGCTGCAACTCGTCCAAAGGCACTCGTGCTTGCAGTACTGGTACTGCTCGTGAGCTCCGCCCAGCTATCCATGGGGGCAAGGAGGCGCATGGAGCTATATCAACCCAATCCGGCGGACATGCTCTCCTACCACAACGGAGCCGTGCTCCACGCCGACATCTTCGTGTCCGTGCTCTGGTACGGCAGTTTCACGCAGGTGCAGAAGACGATCATCTACGACTTCCTGCTCTCCCTCACCATGATGCCCCAGGCCGCCTCGCCGTCCGTGTCGCAATGGTGGAGCATCATTGACCAGCAGTACTTGTCCAAGGCGACGCAAGCCAAACCCAATGCCGGCGGGGCCAAGCAAACCCGGGTGATGCTCGACAACCAGGTCTCCGACGACGCCTGCTCCATGGGCACGTCCCTCACCCTGGCGCAAATCTCCGCTCTCGCCGCGAGGGCCAAGCCCAAGAAGGGCGGCGTCGCGCTGGTCTTCACTGCGCAGAACGTCACCGTGGAGGACTTCTGCATGAGCCAGTGCGGCCTGCACGGCTCGGACGCCAAGTCCGGCACCACGTACGTCTGGGTCGGCAACTCGGCCACGCAGTGCCCCGGCCAGTGCGCGTGGCCGTTCCATCAGCCTGTGTACGGCCCGCAGAGCCCGCCCCTCATTCCGCCCAACGGCGACGCTGGCGTGGACGGCATGATCGTCAACCTGGCGAGCCAGTTCGCCGGCGTGGTGACCAACCCGTTCCGTGACGCGTACTACCAGGGCTCCAGCGACGCGCCCCTGGAGGCCGCCACGGCGTGCCCGGGACAATTCGGCAGCGGCTCGTATCCAGGATACGCCGGCAACCTGAAGATTGACCAAGCGAGCGGTGCTAGCTACAACGCCAATGGCGCGCAAGGGAGAAAATACCTCCTCCCTGCACTCTACAACCCTTCCACGTCTGCCTGCAGCACGCTGGTCTAGCGGAAACACCAATGCAGTGTGTTATCGTCCTAGCTTGTTTGTTTGTTCAGAAGGCTTATGGGTGTATATATACAAGTTCAGATCAGGTGTAATTCTTTCATTTTAAAGATTCAAATGTTCTTCATAATAATATTGGTTGGGGCATGGCAACTAAAGTTGGTCCAATTCAATCAAGAGCCACTTTTTTTTAAAAAGTTTTAACCATAGCAACTAGCAAGATGGTCTGTGAAAATAGCACGGTTAGCTAGTTTTTTAGCATTATAACATCTAGATTTTTATTGCTTGAAAATGTTTGTTATGAATAGTTTTATTTCTTTATTTCATTCTATTGGTTCTCTCCATGCACCTCCGTTGCATCGATCAGCATAAACTCCAAAAAATTATCTAAATGAATTTTTGTGACTTAAATCTATTATTATTGTCTCTCACCCATCTTCTTGTTTTTCCTACTACTCAAGGTAGGCAGGCTTCCGTTTCAGCTCCATTCCTAAACTATTGTTAAAATCTCTCACAAATTGTTTAGTTCCTTGACACCATTCTATATTTTTTTATCACGTTGTACATTCTATTGAGGATTTGAAGACACCTTGTCTACCCTAAAGCATCATGGATCCATCACAATGTTGCTCTCGTCAGTTGGAGCCACCGAGCCACTACTATCTTATTAAGCAACACCTAGTCGGCAATATCATCATGCCAACTAGGTGTGGAACGATCATCAGTGACGTGCTAATTTTAGGCCTGTTACCCATGCCACTTTGCCACACTGTTGTTAATGTGACCACATTTCTTTCGGCTTATGACTAGCTTGTTGCGAAGAAATTGCTCTGTTGTGAGCTTCGTACGTATGTGCACCGTAGAATCAAGGACGAATTACACATGCTGGGCTTAATCAAGGAGGAGTTGAGGCTTATGAAGCGAGTCTGTCGGACGCCCACATGTTTGCTAATGTTTTTTTTCTATTTTTGTATGTGTTTGTGTTCCTAGGTTATCATGTAATCTACCTATGTAAGACTTTGACTTGTTTTCTTCTTATATGGTATGGCAGAGTTTCTGTTAATGTCCAAAACAAAGGAATTACACGTGGGGTATCAAAAGTATATATGTTTTCTATGTAGGGGGTTACCGCGCGATCAGTTGTGCTATTGGGGATCGCACAACCCCTTCTTCCTCCTTGCGCTCCTCCTTCCCGTGCCCCACCCACCACCAAAGCAGAGACACCCGGGGCAGCATAGCACACGCCGCACACCACTACCACCACCGCCGCAGATGTACCATGGCACACGCTCCGCCACCCCAGCTCCTGCCACAGCGCCGCCCAAGTCATCATCCCCTCGCGCCCCGGCTCCCAAGGCCAAGGCCACCCGCACCTGCTGCCTCCCCACCGGTGGCCGAGCCCGAGAGAGAGAGAGAGAGAGAGAGAGAGAGGGGTCGCGCCATCACGCTCCACCGCAACAGTCGCCTAGTAACATTTGTGGTTTTCTATGTGATTTGATCATAATATTGGCCACATGAACCTGTTTTTTATCTAGGCCATTGGCATGAAAGAATGAAAGAGATGATCCACATTCGTCCAAATAACACTGTTACTATTTCCGCTTCTATATGCGCGCGCAGCCCAAAAACTAGGTCCGGTCCTGTGCTGAAGATGACAGAGTACCGGATCAACCATACTTCTAAGAATGGAGGATCTGCAAGGCTTGCATGATGTATCAAGAATGCAACCAGGGCTTGCGGGCAGAGTAGCCTCCAAGTAGCGTGATCATCTGAAATGACACCAGGGCGCGGCAGCAAGTCAGAGTCGTGGACCCGTGGTTCCCTTGCCGCCCCAGGCCGGCCGCCGCGCGACGACATCGCGGGACGGGGCCGAGACCGCACGAGCGCTAGCTGCGGTTGCCAGGTGCGCCGGCACGAGACTCCGCCGCACTCCACTCCGCTCCCCACACCTCCTCCTTGTGTTCTCCGCACGCAATATAATGCATCCCACTAGCGAGTGATGCATGCTTGTCGCAGTTGGCCGGCGCTCCGGCCGTCAAACAAATTCCGACGCGTCTTCTCGGCGGACGCGCACGAGGCGCCTCGAATCGCACGGCGGACAGGCTGTGCCACTGCCCGTCCTTGGGACGCAGGCACGCCTCGCCGTAACTTGACATGGGCAAAAGATTTCACCTTGCTTAAAGGTTAAAACACGTCACGCCTCAGGTTATTTACGAGTCCCGTCACGCGTCCGGCGGGCGGCAGCTTCGTCGGAGGTGAAATGCACGTAGGCGATCGCTTGCCGACTGAACAAATTGTACAGCTGCACTTGAGCAAATTCTAAGCCGGACGCGCGGGAATGGGTTCTGGACGTGGAGGGAGCGCGGGCGCGCGGCCACCGGCCAGGCGGTCACTACCAGGGTGGCCTGTCCCTCGAAGCCCCAGCACCAAACCGCTGCGCGTGCGGCCAGGACAAGAGGGGCTGTAAAAAAGGGCACGGTCCACTCCGAGCATGGGAGATCGATTCGATAGGTGATATAGGTCACGTGAAGGTGCAAAACCTTGCATAGTTTACAATGAGAGCACGCGTGTGCGCACGCACTGTGGCCACGTGTTACGTAAAGGTCTCTCTGGCATGATCTCCATTTTGCGCCACCGGCGACCTGGTCAGTCGAGTACTACTAGATCGCACGCCATGAGCCAGCTGTAAGTGCAACATGCATGCATGTACTATCACGTATGGCCACCTCATCATTTGTTAATGGATGGAGTCTTTGCTCGGCGCCCATGCGTCGGTCACCGTTTACTTGGTGGACTCAGGCGTTGGACGATCTAAACAATTTTTTTTAGACCTAAGACCGCAGCCCTGCTTATATTGAAAGCAAAGAGTTTGCTGGGAACACCAGCTTACAATATCCATCATAGACAAACAAAACGCGATAATACAGCATCGCACGCCATTTTACTCTCTTTACCAATTACCACAGGCTACTACTCTCATGCTCTGCAATGGCTAAGGCTAATACAGCATCGAGCTGCGGTTTGGCCGGCGTAACCGTGCACCTCCCCGCGCCCGCGCCATGCGACCCTCATTCCCCGAAGCATGTCCACATCTCGGTCTCGGACAACACAAAAGTAAAAAACTCACGTCTTGTTTAGTTCCACCCCAACTTCCAAAAATTGCTACCACCGTCACATCGCATGCCGCGCGTCGTGGAGACCTGGTAACAGTCATATTTAAATACTATTTACAAATAGATCAAAATCCGCCAGGGCTGCAGCACGCGATCGTGCCTGCCGCCACCGGAGCGCGCGCGCCCAGGTGCTGACCCGCCGCGCTGCTCTAGGGAACCTTCCGCGGCCACATGCGCCGGACAGCTGTTGCTCATCGGGAGCCCGCGGGGTCAAATCCTCATCCGGTGCGCGGGGATAGAGTGCGCGTGCGCGGTAATCTGACTCGCACTGTCTCTGGACCCGTGCCCGGAAGCAACTGGACAGCGCAGCGCGCGCGGTGAGCGACACACGGTGGCGTGCGGGGGGTGCACCGCGCCTCGTTGCCTCCCCGCGGTCCCCTCTCCCGCCGCGCAGACCAGATGGGAGTACTGCACGTCTGCACCAGATGTAGCAGGAGTAGGGATGAAAACGGATCGGATACGAACGGATATCACTTATATTATATTTGTTTTTTATATTCTATTGATTCGGATTGACGGACCACGGACAAGCGTTCGGATACATATACCTAATACTGGAAGACGGACACGAATAATGAGTATCGAATACTTATATGAATCGGATTAGGAGAAGGTTGGATACAAATATCTATTGAATATTGAGTAAAAAAGCATATATATATATATATATATATATATATATATATATATATATATATATATATATATATATATATATATATATATATATATATATATATCATCACGTTGCAAACCATTACACCACTCTATGAGTCCATAATCCATCTAGATTAAGCCGAAAGACTAAAGAGTAAAGCAACAAATAAGATAAAGATATAATACATCATACATCAAACATCATATAAGCACCAATTTTACAGATGAGTAGAAATAGCCAAGCACATTGCTTCATGGGTCTCATGGAGTCATGGTCATGGATTCAAGATCTACAATCCTTATATAGGCCATTTTTTCATTTTGAGAAAGTTTGAACAAAATGTAGTTCAAATTTCACAAGTGTGTGACATAGTTTTAGAAAATCTGTATGAGATTTAAGAATTTGTGACTAGTGTTTGATAAAACTTTCTCAAATGGGAAAATGAGTTATGTAACAATTGTATATCTTGCTGAGATGATCAAACTTGGTATTCAGAGTTTTTTCATCTGAGGTCATTTAGTGTCTCATTTGAGCAAGTTTGACCAAGTCAAATTTGGTCAAATGAAAAAACAACACTTTGACTCTAGTATTATGAACTCTAAATGACTTCAAATTGAAAAGTTTTGAATACCAAGTTTGTTCAACTCATCAAGATCTACAATTCTTGTTTTGGTCAACTTTCCATTTGAGATAGTTTGGATGGTTCAAATTTGTGATTTTTAAATTTCAATGTTTACAAACTAGTTTTCGGAACCCTAGATTGTCTCAAATTGAAAAGTTTTGAATACCAAGTTTATTCAGATCATCAAGATCTACAATCCTTATATAGGCTATTTTTTCATTTGAGAAAGTTTGAACAAAATGTAGTTTAAATTTCACAAGTGTGTGACATAGTTTCAGAAAGTCTATATGAGATTCAAGAATTTTTTACTAGTGTTTGATAAAACTTTCTCAAATGGGAAAATGAGCTATGTAACAATTGTATATCTTGCTGAGATGATCAAACTTGGTATTCAGAGTTTTTTCATCTGAGGTCATGTAGTGTCTCATTTGAGCAAGTTTGACCAAGTCAAATTTGGTCAAATGAAAAAATAACACTTTGACTCTAGTATTATGAACTCTAAATGACTTCAAATCGAAAAGTTTTGAATACCAAGTTTGTTCAACTAATCAAGATCTACAATTTTGTTTTGGTCAACTTTCCATTTGAGATAGTTTGGACGGTTCAAATTTGTGATTTTTAAATTTCGATGTTTACAAACTAGAACCCTAGATTGTCTCAAATTGAAAAGTTTTGAATCAAATTTGTTCATCTCATCAAGATATACAATCCTTATATAGGCCATTTTTCATTTGAGAAAGTTTGAACAAAATATAGTTCAAATTTCACAAGTGTGTGACATAGTTTCGTAAAGTCTATATGAAATTCAAGAATTTATGACTAGTGTTTGATAAACTTTTCTCAAATGGGAAAATAAGCTATGTAACAATTGTAGATCTTGCTGAGATGATCGTATTCAGAGTTTTTTCATCGAGGTCATTTAGTGTCTCATTTGAGCAAGTTTGACCAAGTCAAATTTGGTCAAATGAAAAAACAACACTTTGACTCTAGTATTATGAACTCTAAATGACTTCAAATTGAAAAGTTTTGAATACCAAGTTTGTTCAACTTATCAAGATCTACAATTGTTGTTTTGGTCAACTTTCCATTTGAGATACTTTGGATGGTTCAAATTTGTGATTTTTAAATTTTGAATAAATATCAGGATAATATCCGTTTTTAAATATCCGGATATATCCGATACTTATCCGGATTATCCGATATCCGCGATATCAGATATTACATCCGTATTTGATATCCGCCTAAGATATCCGAGTATCCAGATCCGAAAAAAACCGATATCTGCATCCAGATAAGATTTGTTTGTACGGACGGTCGAATAAATATCCGTACCGTTTTCATCCATAAGTGGAGTAGTAGTCAAGAACCGTGCACGAAGCCTCTCGTTGTTCACCTCCAGGCACTGACGCAGAGACTATAAATAGAGGAGCCGGGAGCCTTCCCCTCCATCTCCATCGCAACGACACGCTCACACGCACACTAAACACAAGGTCGATCACCAAGCAGTAGTAGCTCTAAGCTCACAAGTTTCTTGGCGCAGTTTAGCAAGTCGTGATTAGCAAATAGCAATGGCTTCTCTTGTGCTGGTTGTGGCGACGGTACTGAGCCTGGCGCAGCTCTCCGCGGGGAGCAGCAGGAGGCTGATGGAGCTGTACATTCCTCCGCCGAGCGATCAGCTCACCGACCACCACGGCGGCGTGCTCAGCGGCGACATCCGGGTGACCACGCTCTGGTACGGCAGCTTCACGTCGGCGCAGAAGTCAATCGTCTACGACTTCCTCCTCTCGCTCATCACGGCGCCGAGCGCGGCCACGCCCTCGGTCGAGCAGTGGTGGGGCACCATCGACCAGCTGTACCTGTCCAGCGCCGCCGCGTCGGGGACGCGCGTGCTCCTCGACGCTCGGGCGGAGGCGTCCGACGAGGCGTACTCGCTGGGGAAGTCGCTCACGCTAGCCCAGATCGAGCAGCTCGCCGCGCGCGCCGGCGCCAAGAAGGGCGGCATCGCGCTGGTGTTCACCGACCAGGACGTGGCCGTGGAGGGCTTCTGCAGCAGCCGGTGCGGCAAGCACGGCTCTGCCGCCCCGGGCGCCGAGGCCGGGTCCACCTACATCTGGGTGGGCAACGCCGTGAAGCAGTGCCCGGGGCAGTGCGCGTGGCCGTTCGCGCAGCCGCTGTACGGGCCGCAGGGCGCTCCCCTGGTGGCACCCAACGGCGACGCCGGGATGGACGGGCTGGTGATGGTCCTCGCCGCCATGATGGCCGGCACCGTGACCAACCCGTATCGCGACGGGTTCTACCAGGGCTCAAAGGACGCGCCGCTGGAGGCGTGCACCGCGTGCCCGGGCGTCTACGGCAGCGGCGCCTATCCGGGCTTTCCCGGGAACCTGCTGGTCGACCAAACCACCGGGGCCAGCTACAATGCCAACGGCGTGAACGGGAGGAAGTACCTGCTCCCGGCCTTGTACAACCCGGCGACGTCCACCTGCAACACCCTGGTGTAGTTGATTGGAGTACGTAGTGATGTAGTCTGTACCGGACACCGTCCCCGTTAATATGTACTGTACTGTACGCCTGATTAAAGCTGTACATATACGAGTTTGGACATGGAGAAATGAAATTACTTTTTTTTAGAAACCGGGGATATATATATTACATATATACTTCTTAAAGTTTACGTTCCACGTCTTACAAAGACACACATGAAGAAAACAAAAATTACAGCTCAGTCCTAGCAAGATCCTCCAGGTCGTCCTCGTCGCCGGCGATCGAAGCAGCCAAGTGCTGCTTGAAGCCGACCTCCTTCTGGATGATGGAACTTCACAGTTTTTTGATGCCACCAAGAGCTGCACGTCGAAAACATCGACATGTTGTATACTCGCTGCAGACCCTGGTTGAAGAAGATGGCCACCGGCCATCACATCGCCGGGAGACAAGGGATCTGGCGCCTCAAAGGCCACCAGCAGCCTCGACTCACTGAAGAACGATACAACCCGAAGGGGAACAAGACCACCAAAGAAGGTGGGGACTAGACACCAACTCGGTTTCTCAGCGAGTTGGTAAAAAAACCCTAGCCAGGGGAGAAGAACAGGCCCCATCCCAACCGCGGATGGGGTAAGCAAAACATACCTCAAATCCGCAGCAACAACGACACCGGAGGTCACCATCGATGGTGACCAAGCTAAAACCGACGCCATCTCCGCGGATGACAATTACAGAGCTGGAATCCGCATCAACAACACCACCGATGCGGAGAACACAAACCCTAACCTAACTAAACAAACACTAATAAGAGAGGGTATGTACAACGGCCATCGATTCCGCGGCCCCTCTCCTCCTCCGGCACCGTAGCGGCCACCGGAGGCGAGAAGGGACTAGCGAAATCGACGCCGGAAGCAGAATCGCCTGTCGGTCGCCCTATTCTATCGTATCGTGGGGAACGAAAGGTCGAGACGTGACCCCTGCTGGAGAAATGAAATTACTTTGTTCGTCCAAAACGCTGCCACATGTGAATCCTGCCATTCAAGGCCAAGGCCCATTGAAGATCAATTCGGCCCAAATAGTGAAAATCGACGTGGGTAAAGAAAAACTAGAGCCTGCTCGCTGCCCAGCAGGGTCTGCAGTGCACCAACTGCCTCATCCGCTCGCCGCAGCACAGTGATGCATACACAAGTACACAACGTCAGGCGACGGCTAGTCGCCGAATTGAAGGGTACAATACGCGAACGAGAATGTACGAAGACGAAGTCCCATGCATCAGTTTCGGACTTTCAACGACATATCATTGTCTCCGAGTTCCAGTTCTTCTCTTTGTGCTAAAATTGGAAATTTAAGGGCCAAGAAATTCTTTACATCTTTCCTAATTTACGGGAACAGACATATTAACAAAAAAAATAACCTTTAACAATCTCTTTAATCAAATCTCCAAATTTAAACCTTCTCTATTTCAGATTTCTCGCTAGCCAAAGATAGAAAGCGAGAATGACTCTCTAAAAATCACACAAGATATAGAGAAGTTGTTGGAGCAGAACAAAAATATAGAAAATGATTTTACTCAAACGACTATCAAAATGATAATTTAGAGAGAGTTTTAGAAAGACTCTTGGAGGTGCTCTAATTATTAGGTGCACTTATATATAGACTTGATATTAATCTCATAAGTGCCTTTCATAAAATCAAAGATATTAATCTTATAAGTCTTGCTATCAATTGATCGAGTTCATTACGGTTTAGGGCATAGAAATTTTGAGATACTAAATTAAAGATAACAAAAAATGCCTTCGGTTTCAAAAGAAAGTAGGTTGCTAACGAAAAACATAAGACAACGATGCAAGCAATAGTGTCCAAAGTCTCCAAGAAATCAATAGGTAAAGAGAAGGTCAGAAAAGCATTTGTGGCGAGGTGGAGCTGATCCATATCCATACGTGGAGGTTTTGGATCATTTGTGGGCAAAAAATAGCGGTTGATTGGTCAGAGGTTGGAGAAAAAAGCCTATTTAGACCAGACATGATCAAGGAAGCCGAAGAACAAGTAGCCAAAGTCAGAGAGAACTTAAAAGCGGCACAAAGCAGACAAAAGAGCTATGCAGACACCTGACGAAGGCCATTGGAATTTCAACTAGGAGATTATGCCTATCTGAAAGTATCACCAATCAGGGGCACTCGAAGATTCCAAGTCAGAGGAAAATTAGCACCATGGTATATTGGGCCATATCAGATCATTGAAAAGATTGGAGTCGTAGCCTATTATCTGGAATTACCGACGGAGAAGTCAGATGTTCATGATGTGTTTCATGTGTCTTAACTAAAGAAATGCTTAAGAATACCAGAAGAACAAGCACCTATGGAAGCCATGGATTTACAATCGGATTTACAGTATCAAGAAAGACCAATCAGGATATTGGATGTTGCACCCGACAAACGAGAAGGACAGCGGTAAGATTCTGTCGGGTACAATGGAGTAATCATACTGAGGCAGAAGCCACATGGAAAAGAGAAGATGATCTTAAGAAAGAATTTTCCTATCTATTTGAGGATCAGTTCGAAACTAGAGGACAAAATTTATTTTAAGGGGGTAGGTTTGTAACACCCTGAATTTTGACCTAATTTAAAAACCACTAAAAATTTGAACTTTTTAAAACTTTGCATAACAATCCCCACACATAGTTAATTAACCTAAGAATTAATATGAATAGATCAACATAGGAATAAAAACCATAGATGTAGAATTGTGTGCTTGCTTGCTTGAACATAAGGTACCTTGCATGCTTTCTTATTTAAATTCAAAATGCATTCAAACATAGTATAGAAATCTGAGAAAAAAGAAAAAGGAAAGGAAATAGGAAAATGAGCACTGGGCTCATTCCCCTCCCCTCGGCCCATGACGGCAGCAGCAGCAGCCCACTTACCCTCCTCTCTTCTCCCTCTCCCGCGACTAGGCTGGCCCATTACAGCGCCCCGGCCCAACTCCCGCCCGCCTCCTCCTCTCTCCCTCTCTCTCACTGGCGCGTGGGACTCGGCCGTCACGCCCGTCGTCTACTTCGGGCCGATGACGCGAATACAGCGTCGTAGCCTGAGCGACGTGGTCCCGCCGCCACCGCCTCGCCCCGATGAAGTTATGGAGACCAGGATGCCCTCGCAAGATCTTTTCTTGACCCCACCTTCACCTTTCCCCTATTCTCTCTCTCCCTCACTGCTCCTCCCTCGACACGCGGTGGCGAACCCACCTCACCGTACCGCCATGGATGAGCCTGAGCTACCTCGATCGCACGCGTGAGCAAGCCCGCACTGTGGCGAACTAACCTAAGGCATCAGGCATGTGTGTTTTTCCCCGGGTGAGCTCGGCGGGTGTTAACGATCATTAACATCAATTATAAACTATCAATCTAACCTGCATATATACTTAAATCCATCACCAAACATAGGTCTAGGTGTTTAAATAAATAAATTATATGAGTTTTGTTGAATCTGTGTTTTCAGTAGGGTTTAATCAGAAATCCATCAAGGATGACCTATTTGTCAAAGCAAATCATGTTTATCCGCAGCGAAACCGACGCGAGAAGACTCTAGAAAACTCCAGAAGGCGAACCACCAAAGATGGGGCCCACCAGTCACTGAGACAGGCCTATGGGGCCCACCGGTCAGCCTCCGCTTTGAATGTCAGTTCTCCACCGCCTCCTAGATTGCATCTATGCAAATTCTTTCAAGTCAGTTTGATCCGAGGGTCCAGAATTGATGCTACCCCCTATATATAGCTCTATACCCCCTCTAGGAGAGCCATCCCTAAAACCCTAATTCATATCTTCAGGATCAGAGCCAATTATCAAGAGAAAATTAGTCATCCATAGGATCTAGTCTCATGAATAGAAATAGTGAGATAGAGAGTGAGGAAAGAGTTTGGAGGAGGTGCCAGCCTATCGGTGCTCTCTCTACGGCTTGTACCTTGGCGGGTCTAAGTTCTACTTGAGCTTGCCTCTAAGATTTCTCTGGTAATCAACTTTTGATTGAAGTAAGCATATTTTTATATTGTTCATTAGGATCATGACTCTTTGAGTACTTTATTCCTGTTCTAGAGGGGGGTAAAGTATTAATAATAAGTGTAAGTGTGGTGCTTAGACTTGGGTTAATCGTGGATGCACCCTGCATTCCGGATTAGTGGTAGCTCGCGAGGGTGACTCTTATAGCCTCGTTGAATCCTTTTGTCGGGTACCTTAGAACGGGGTACCCCAAGCAAACATCAAAATAAAGCTAGAAGGTAAGCCGTGGGCCCCTCACCTGCCACGACCGAGCCCTCCTCCACTTCGCCTCGAGCCTCGATCAGGAGGTCTCGGAACAAACTCCGCCTCGCGCGAGGCTCCCCAGGGTAGGCGTCGGCAGGGGGCGCCGAGCCTCGGCAGGGGGCGTCGTCTCCGTCTCGCCCAAGGCTCTCTAGGGAAGGCCTCAGTAGGGGTACATTCTCCGTATCGCGCGAGGAGTCTCGCGCAAGGCCTCGGCAAGGAACCTGATCTCCGTCTCGCGCGAGGCCTCATTCTTCGTGTCGCTCGAGGCCGGGTCGCCCGCAACCCGTCACCCCCCGCCTCGACCGACCCTCCAGACAACGTGTCATGTCCCATTAATGCTTCAACCACTCCCGCAATCTCAGCCGGACGATGGCTCAACGCCCAGAGAATGGCGGACGCGACCCAAGGTCGCATCAGTCGCCATCACCATACCGGGACAGAGATCTGGCGGGATTATCGGCCACTGTGTCCTAACACTGTATCCACGATCTCCGCCATACCGGCTGGGACAGGGTACGGCGAGAATTACCGGCCACTGTGTCCTAACACTGTACCCACGATCAGCCGCCCACTCGAGGCCTCGGCACCGTACACCAAGGTCTCGGCCATCTTGGGGATCGTGCCTGCCGAGACCCCTCCACCATGGTGTAGCCTCGACACCGACCAAGTCTCGGCCTCGCGCGCAGTCCGTCCACAGTGGCTTGCACGTCCACCACCGCGCCCACT